CAGAGGCGGACACACTGTACGGGAGGAGGACAGGCTGCAGGGGTCCGGCAGAGGCTGACACACTGTATGGGAGGAGGACAGGCTGCAGGGTGGGCAGGAGCAGTTTTGGGAAGGGGTCAGGTCAGGTGGGCCTCTGCTTCCCACCTCGGTTATGGCCCTTAAGAGCACCTCTGGCCGGCAGGGGCCCCTTACTGGACTCGGCCTGAGCGGATGGACAAGAAGCTGCTGGCTGTGCCAGTCCCAGCCGCCAACACAGTTCGTTTCCGCTGTCCGGCTGCTGGCAACCCCACTCCCTCCATCTCCTGGCTGAAGAATGGCAAAGAGTTCCGTGGGGAGCATCGCATAGGGGGCATCAAGGTAGGCCTGGGGTCGGGGGCGAGGCTAGGCCAGGGGGCGGGGGAAGGGCCTCGACCTGGAAGAAGTGGGGTGAGGGTGGGTCCGGCAGTGCGTGCATCTCATCCTGCAGCTACGGCACCAGCAGTGGAGCCTGGTCATGGAGAGCGTGGTGCCCTCGGACCGCGGCAACTACACCTGTGTGGTGGAGAACAAGTTCGGCAGCATTCAGCAGACGTACACGCTGGACGTGCTGGGTGAGGGCCAGCGCTGCGGGTGGGGGCGTAGTGGGGTGGCGGCACACCCCAGAGCGGTCCCTGAGCCCCCGTTTGCCCTACAGAGCGCTCTCCGCACCGGCCCATCCTGCAGGCGGGGCTGCCGGCCAACCAGACGGCAGTGCTGGGCAGCGACGTGGAGTTCCACTGCAAGGTGTACAGTGACGCCCAGCCCCACATCCAGTGGCTCAAGCATGTGGAGGTGAACGGCAGCAAGGTGGGCCCCGACGGCACGCCCTACGTCACCGTGCTCAAGGTGGGTGCTGCCGCAGGTTGGACCTGGGACAGGCTGGGGCTTCCTGGGCCCCGGGTCTCCCTCGGCTGGGGAAGAAGTGTGGCGTTCTGCGCCCAGAGAGTAGGGGGCCGAGTCTCGGTAGTCTGGCCCTGCTCCGGGCTGCAGGCAGCAAGCAGCCCCGAGGTGGGACCTGTTTTCCTGTCTGCTCTGAGGGTTGGCTTCTCCCCATCAAAGCCCTACAGCTTGGAGCTAGGCCTGCAGAAGGCCTCCCTGGGGTAGGCTTGTGTTCAGGTGACAGAATGGTGGCCTGGAGCAGGAGGATGGCAGCTGAGTCCCCTCCCTCCCCTCTGAACCCAGAGGACAGAATAGCTGCTCTGGAGCTGGCCCTGATTATCTGTGTGCAGAATGCCCGGCCCGCCTCCCGCAGCCCTAGCTTTGTTCCCACAGCTACAGGGGTGGGGGCTACTGGGTCGGGATGGTTGCGACACTTGAAGTCCAAAGAAAAACATCTGCTCAGAGACAAGATGGTCTGGTGGGGTGGGGAGCAGGCGCTGGGACGTGAGCAGGAGGCCAGTCCCGGCTGGGGGAGGCTGTAGGCCCCCTGGGCTGCTGCCTTCCTCTTGCTGCTTATGAGAGCTTATGTGTGGTTAGCCCAGCCAGGACCCCCAGAGTGGGCAGGTGGGGGCTGGAAGGGCTCTTGGAGGAGTCTGGGCTCTGGGTTCTTGGGGGTGGACACGGAGAAGGCATCCTGTGAAATACCGCCATGAGGTGCCTCTACACCTCTTCCAGGCAGCCTTCCTGGTTGATGCAGCCCAGCCCCGATCCGTTCCTTGGGAGGGGGGTGGGTCTCCCACATCCTGCCTCATCCTGCTTGTACCTGGCCAAGGCTGCCTCGGGGGTGTGCCTGAGCCGGGTCTCTTGTCCCCGCAGTCCTGGATCAGTGAGAATGTGGAGGCCGACGCACGCCTCCGCCTGGCCAATGTGTCGGAGCGGGATGGGGGCGAGTACCTCTGTCGAGCCACCAATTTCATAGGCGTGGCTGAGAAGGCCTTTTGGCTGCGTGTTCATGGGCCCCAAGCAGGTAACAACTCTGTCCCACGCCTGCCTGGCACGCCGAGCTCCAGCTCCATCGCCCTGGCCATGCGCCCGCCCTCCAGCACGCCGCCTGCACGCCCCCACCCTGCTCGATCCCCACCCCATGCTCACACTCCATTCCCGGCCTCCTTGGCAATACTGGCAGCTCAAGCTTCTGCTGTGACTCCCCTGTCGAGCCCCGTGGCCTGTGCTGACCGCCCTCCCCACGCCCCCTGTGTAGTTTTAGAAGGTTCTCAGTACCTGCCAGGGCTGAGTCCCGTGGTGTTGCTGAGGTCACCTCTGCCTTTCCCACGACTGGCTCCACTGCCTGCTCACTGTCAGCCTGTCCGTCTTTCTGTCCTGTCTGCACCCCTCACCTCTGCACTAACCTCGCATGCTGCCTCTGTGCAGTACCATGCTGTCCGCCGCCTGACGCTCCCCTGGGACAGAGGACTCGCCGGTGGAGGGACTGGCTTCGGGCTCGGTGCGGACGCAGGAGGCGGAGGGCTCCGGGCCCCACGGCTGAGGCGGCGGCCGAGGCGGTGGCCGAGGTGGTGGTGATGATGGTGGCGGCGGCGGCGTTTTCCTTGCAGCCTGGCCAGATCGTCGCTGCGTGGACTCTGCTGCAGTGCCCGTGGGAGGTGCTGGCGCTGGCCTATCGCTCTCTGTTCTCTCTTTGTAGACGGCGGGCGCTAACACCACTGACAAGGAGCTAGAGGTTCTGTCCTTGCGCAATGTCACCTTTGAGGACGCGGGGGAGTACACCTGCCTGGCGGGCAATTCTATCGGGTTTTCTCATCACTCTGCGTGGCTGGTGGTGCTGCCAGGTACTGGTTCTGCTACTGCTCGCTCTGCACCTGTCCTGTAGGGGTGCTGACTTGGACATGCCAAAGCCGAAGGACGGAGCCCACACCCGGCCCTGTGCTTGGCGCAGGAACACAGCCAGCCCGGCCCTGTCTTGGTCCTGGGGAGGCCAGTCAGGCTCACACAGCCCTGTGGGCGGCTTTGGCATCTCCTAGGCACCTGGGTGGCGGTATGGGTGCTGCTGGCTCCGCTGGGCTCCTTCTCTCCTGGGTCTGGCCCCTGCTGACGCACAGTCATTTCTCATCATAGGACCCTCAAGCTGAGTGGGGGAACTGGCCTCAAACCCACCCAGCTCTGACCTCCCCAGGGAGGCTGAGCCCCCATCCCTGCCCCTGGTGGTTCCTGCGGCTCTGCCCAGACAGCCCTGGGGGCTGCCGAGAGGCTGGGCCAGGCCCCAATGCCCATGTCTTTGCAGTTGAGGAGGATCTGGTGGAGGCTGACGAGGCTGGCAGTGTGTACGCAGGCATCCTCAGCTATGGGGTGGGCTTCTTCCTCTTCATCCTGGTGGTGGCAGCCGTGACGCTCTGCCGCCTGCGCAGCCCCCCCAAGAAGGGCCTGGGCTCACCCACCGTGCACAAGGTCTCCCGTTTCCCGCTCAAGCGACAGGTAACAGAAAGTAGATACCAGGTTCCGAGCTGCCTGTCTGCCCACCCCCTTGGACCCCCACGGGCCCGCCGTCGTCCCGGGCTCTCGAACTCAGGGACACCTGGGGCCTGCCTGGGATGATTTCTCTGTCACTGGGTGGGCTGTCACCATGCAGAGCCCAGGTTACCAGTCAACACTGTGGAGATCAGAACACCCCCTTTCGGTTCAGTGTCCTGCCCTGCATAGCCTCGGCTTTGCTGTCCCTGGGGCCTGCACCCCTACCACCCAGTCCCCACTCCACCCCTTATCCCTCGTAGTGAGGCACCAACCTGCCCCTGCTGACCCAAGCAGGTATCCTTGGAGTCCAATTCGTCGATGAACTCCAACACGCCACTGGTCCGCATTGCCCGGCTGTCCTCCGGAGAGGGCCCCACGCTGGCCAACGTCTCTGAGCTTGAGCTGCCTGCTGATCCCAAGTGGGAGCTCTCCCGGGCCCGGTTAGTGGTGGTGAGGGATGGCATGTGCAGAGGAGGCCAGGGACCTGGCAGGGGTTTTGGTAGGGGTGGCTTCAGCTCAGAGTCTGGTGGGAGTGTAGAGCCATAAAAGATGCGGCAGATATTTGAGGTGGTCTGGGGCCCCATGGAAATGCTACTGAGGTGGGGTACAGGGTGAGGACCTATGCCCTTAAGGTCTCTGAAGGGCATGGCACAGGGCGAGAGGCCAAGAGTGCCGCTTCTCGTCCTCACCAGCAGGGGCGCAGGGCAAGTGTGGAGGCTTCCCAGAGGTGGTGGTGCTGGGCCTTCAGGGCTAGGCTGGGGCTGAGGCAGCAAAGTGACTCCCAGCTGGGCGGAAGTGAGGAAGTGGGCCCTTGAGCAGACTGGCTAGCACACTCATGGCCCCTTCCCTCCTGCCACCAGGTTGACCCTAGGCAAGCCTCTCGGGGAGGGCTGCTTTGGCCAGGTGGTCATGGCAGAGGCCATTGGCATCGACAAGGAGCGTGCTGCTAAGCCCGTCACTGTGGCTGTGAAGATGCTGAAAGGTGAGGAGGGAGGGAGCAAGGGGCACCTGGTGGGACTGGGGTCACCACCATCTGACAGCCCCTCTTCCTGCACAGACGATGCCACCGACAAGGACCTGTCAGACCTGGTGTCCGAGATGGAGATGATGAAGATGATCGGCAAGCACAAGAACATCATCAACCTGCTGGGGGCCTGCACGCAGGGCGGTAGGCGCATCTCCGTCAGGCGGGGTGGGGGCAGCCCCCGCAGGGCCCAGCGTCCCCACTGAGGCGCCCGTGCCCGCAGGGCCCCTGTACGTGCTGGTGGAGTATGCGGCCAAGGGCAATCTGAGGGAGTACCTGCGGGCACGGCGGCCTCCGGGCATGGACTACTCCTTCGACACCTGCAAACTGCCTGAGGAGCAGCTCACCTTCAAGGACCTGGTGTCCTGTGCCTACCAGGTGGCCCGGGGCATGGAGTACCTAGCCTCCCAGAAGGTGAGCTGGGTGTGAAGGCACAGTGGGTGGCCCGTGTGGGTGACAAGCCTTCTGGAACCGTAGGGGTCAGGGCAGTCCACAGAGCAGTGATGGGGCTGGCCAGTCTCAGCCGTAATCCCCGTGCCCCCCAGTGCATCCACAGGGACCTGGCTGCCCGCAATGTGCTGGTGACAGAGGACAACGTGATGAAGATCGCAGATTTCGGCCTTGCCCGCGACGTGCACAACCTTGACTACTATAAGAAGACCACCAATGTGAGCTTGGCCCTGGGGGTGGGTGGGGAGGATGAGGTGGGCTGAGCCCGAGGCCGGGCGGCAGCCAATACCTCCCTCCTGTGCCCTAGGGCCGGCTGCCTGTGAAATGGATGGCACCCGAGGCCTTGTTCGACCGAGTCTATACCCACCAGAGTGACGTGTATGTGTCCCTGTGCGTGTGGTCCTCACAGTCCCCTGGCCCTGCTCCTCCTGGTGCCCTCACCTAGCCCATAGGTGGCATTTGTTCTGGGGTGGTGACTGCTGAGGGAATGGGCCTGGGATCACAGGATGGCCTGTCCTTGCCTACCCCCACAGTTGGTCCTTCGGGGTCCTGCTGTGGGAGATCTTCACGCTGGGGGGTTCACCATATCCTGGCATCCCAGTGGAGGAGCTCTTTAAGCTGCTGAAGGAGGGCCACCGCATGGATAAGCCGGCCAACTGCACACACGACCTGTGAGTGTGGCGTTCCTGGACCCCCTCTACCAGGCCCAACGGGGTATGGTTCCCATTGTCGCCTCAGCTCTGGCTGGGCAAGGGGTGGGCAGCTGAGAGGAAGCAGGCTCGGGCTGGCATGGTGGGCATGGGCCTAGAGCCTGCCCTGAGCCCCCTCCCCACCAGGTACATGATCATGCGGGAATGCTGGCACGCCGTACCGTCGCAGCGGCCCACCTTCAAGCAGCTGGTGGAGGATCTGGATCGCATCCTCACCGTGACGTCCACAGATGTGAGTGTGGGCCCCTACTCGGTCGCTCTGCCTTTTGACACGAGGCAGTCCTGGGAGCACTTTGGGGTGGGACGGGACTTGGAGGGCACAGCACTGATCGCCCACTTGCCTGCCGTAGGAATACCTGGACTTGTCGGTGCCCTTTGAGCAGTACTCCCCGGGAGGCCAGGACACCCCCAGCTCCAGCTCCTCGGGGGATGACTCCGTGTTTACCCATGACCTGCTGCCTCCGGCCCCACCCAGCAGCGGGGGCCCAAGGACATGAAGGGTCACTGGTCCTGCAGGCCGAGCCCCCCTAATGTGAGAGCAGACCCCAGCCGACTCTGCTGCTGCCGCTGCTGTTGCATGCAGTCAGCCTGGGCCCCAGACCTGCTGCAGATGGACAGACCGACGGACGGAGCTTCATATCTGTGTGCCTGTGCGTGTGCGTGAGAGCCTTATGGCCCTCGAGGGTGAGGACCCCGGGGTGTCTGCACTGCTGTACAACAATCTCCAGGGTCAGCAGCACCGAAGGGCTTTTCTTCTGGGGAGACCAAATGTCGAATGTAAGGGGACTCACCCCGTGAGACCCCTTGGGGCAGGGGGCTGGGCCAGAATGCCTTGGCTCGGGCCTGTCGGCCTCACTGCCACTCCACAGGGAGCATCACAGAGTGGGCCAGGCTCTGGTGTCCGGGTGGGCCCTGGCCCCTCCCAGTGCCCAAAGCTGAGCCTGCAGGGAAACCCCCATGGGGCGAGCCTCCCGCCTGAGTGGCATCTTGTGCTTGGGGGTGAGTGGGCAGCTCCTCTCCTCCAGGCCTCCCCACTAGCCACCCTGCCCCTCAGAGGCTGAAATTACGGGTACCTGAAGGTGGGAGCCTTTAACTTCTGTCCAAAAGGTTCATTCCAGAAACGAGTGTACATTTATATAAATAGATGCTGTGTATATGATATACATACATACATATATATAAATAACTATATGGAAGAAGAGGCTGGTACAACGGAGGCATGGGATCCTGGGGGTGCAGGAGGCAAGGGGTTGCCCTGGTGGGAGGAGGTCCTCATGGGGGACTTGCTGTTGAGACAAAATGCAAAAAAAGGCAGAGGAGCAAGGGGCTTTTCTGTCACTGCAGTTTTGTTTTAAAAATTGTACCTGGACCTGTATATTTGTAAAGCTATTTATCACCCTTGTCCTGGCCCCCGCCCCGCACTTAGTATTTAGCCAGCCACGTGGCAGAGTTTTAAGTTTTAACTTATTAACAGCTGAGAAAGTTGATGTCACATTTAGACGGATTGCAGGAATGTATGTCCAGATTATATCCCAAGGCCGAAGCTGGCCCCCTTCAGGTCTAAAAGGTCATTAATATTTGGAGGTGTTTCCAGTGAGGATATTTTATTTCCTTTGGCCTTCTTTTTGCAGGGGAATTAGATTTCTATAGGATTTTTTTCTTTAGGAGATTTATTTTTTTGAATTTCAAAGCAAGCTAGTATTTTCATACAAATTCTAATTGCTGCAAGTTCCAGGCGGGGAGGCAGTGTCCAGGGAGGGGCTGGCCCTGCGTGCAGGTTCAGATGTTATTAGATGTTCCAAGTTTATATATATCTATATATATAATTTATTGAGTTTTTACAAGATGTATTTGCTGTAGACTTAACACTTCTTACGCAATGCTTCTAGACTTTTATAGCCTGGACTGCTACCTTTCACAGCTTGGGAGAGAAGGCCGTGAAGTCAGCTTTGTTACTTTTTGTACTGTTAATGGGCCCTGAGTTGGGTGGCTGTCCCTTGCTCGCCAACCGGCTAGCCAGCACGGTGGTGGCTCAGGGCAGCCTCTTCTCAGGGCCCAGCCACTTGGTGGCCAAAGGTGTAGGCCCAAACCGGCAGATGTGATTTTGTTAACCCAGCAGACTTTCTAAAAAAATAAAAGAGAGACGACTGGTTCTGATTCTGGCTCCCCGCTTTCGTGCCTTCTATTGCTCTGGGATTCGGGGCAGCTGCGTGCTCTCACTGCGTGTCAAAGACAGGTTCTGTCATATGTGCCCTCCAGGGGAGGGAGGGACCGCTAGCAGGCCATGCCAGCAGCAGCCTCTGTGTGGTCCCCAAACACAGGCGCTGGTCCCCTCTGGCTGCCCCGTCACGTGCTCTCCAGGGGTTTCCAGCCCAGGTCTCTGGCTTGAGTCCATATTCATAGAAGGGTCCCCTGTGGGGCTCATGTCTAGGTACTTGTGGTTGGTTCTGAGGCCTCTCCCTCTTCTCCCATCCCCTGGCATCTGCCTGTCCAGTCGACTGGGGTATGGGAAGTGCCCCTTCCAGGGCCCTACAGAAGCAAAATTCTCACCTGGGCCCCTTGTTTAAACCAGACCTCAGGACTAGTGGCCACACTCCTGCTCCTGGTCACCTCCTCTCCTCTTCCACTGCCTGGCAACCTCTTGGGGCCACATGGTGACCCCTGCCCCTGGCAGTGGCTCCTAAGACTTAGCTGACCCTTGGCTGATTGGGGCATCGAGGACCCAGGGTGGGCCAGACACCAGCTCCTCCCAAGTTCACAGGTCTAGCAGAACAAAAGGAAGGCTTCCTGGAGGAGGAGTTGGCCTGTGGCACAGAGCTGCCTGTGCCTTCCCTGTGCTGCCTTTCCTCCTCTCCACTACCCTTCGGGTCTCATCCTCTGATCTTGTGAGGCAGCCAGGAGGGGAGCCTGGGTTGAGGGTTCCAGCTGCAGGACTATGGAAACCTTTACTCTGGCTTCCAGGAAACTTGCTGTTCTTAAACTCACCTTCCAGGTGAGGGGAGCCTCTTGTTTCTGGATAGGGAGGCTGCTACGGTTTTGGTTCCAGATAACTGGTATCTCCTAGTGCCTCACCCCATTCAGGGAAGGACTTCTTTGGGGGCAGCCATAGGCCTGATGAGGAAAGGAGGATTCCAAGGGACCCCATGCCCCAAAGTTCCTCAGCCCTTCTCCAGCCTGCCTATAAACTCTATGCTGAGGACCTAGAGGTCACCAAGGGAAACCAGCGAGAACCTGAACAGGCCAGACTGAGTGTAGAGGGCAGTGAGGGGACACCAGGCCAAGAGGAAGTTGGGGCCAAAGTGCAGGTTGGGCAGAGGGTCAGCGTGGCTGGGAGGGAAGCTAGCGGCAGGTACCTGGCCCCACTTGGGCAGGCAGAGTGTGGCTCTCAGAGCACGGGCTGAGGGCGCCCCCTGGTGCTGGCTGGGCTGTGCAACCCCAAAGCCTGGGCCCAGGTGGACCCCAGGTGCACACAGTTGGATCTAGGGTAGGTGCTGGATGGACCCTCAGACCTAGCTACTGGAGGACAGGAAGTGTCATGGACAGGTCATCCTACTTCCTCTCCAGGAGAGATCTTAGGCTGACAGAGGCCTAGAGAGAGACGAAGCTCCCAGGCAGCCAGCTATGGCCACCAGGACAGGTGGGCACCCAGAACTTGACCTTGGAGCTGCCCTGCTGGGGCTTCTGGGTATTTCCCTGCCCAGTAAGAACCCATGGACACGGGTGCGATTCCTGTTATCCTGTGCCTTCCAAGTCATCCCCATCATGACATTGGTAGCTGTTTAAACCAGGAACTCCTTTGGGTGTTAGATGTCTTATCCCCTCTATTCTAGAATAGACCCTGCTCTTCCCTCCCTCTGCTTATGACTTTTTGAGGGGACAGTGACTCCTATGGACATAGTTGGTGGCTCCCATGGGGCTGTCCAACTTACTTCTAGTCAACACAGAGACAGGAAGGCTCCCCAGCTCCCTGTCCCCATTTCCAGCGGTACTGGGTGGATTGCAGTGATTCGGGAACCACTGGCCGGAATTACTGTCGATTTGTGGAGAAGCTGGGGAATCAGTCCTCCCCTTTGCATTTTCTGTTTTCACAAGAAACTGGTCACCGGCACCAACAGACAGACAAGGCAATCTTTCCTCAGGAACCACCACGGGTGCATGGGCTTTCTATTGTTCAGTTCTGTCGTGTTCTCATGGCCACTTTGGCCTTGCTTTGGCTGGGGGGCGCCCCTTCAACTGCTTGCTGACCCCTGAGTAACGTCCCCACCAGGAAGCACTCCCTGTGATAGCCCTGGGATCAGTATTTCCTTGAGCTCAGGTATAAAGATCCTGTAGACAGGGTCTTCAAAAAGTTTGTGGAAAACGCTTATGAAAAAACGATTTCATTGGAGATTTTGGGTACCAAAACAAACTCATAACTTTAATTACATTTTCCCCATGAACTTTTAGAAGTTCCCTCATATGTGGCCTTGAGAACTTTTGGAGAGATGAATATCACTTAGAGAGACCGACCCCTGCCAGCTCTCCGGAGGCACCAGCTGAGGTTCAGCTCTGGCCCTTGCCCTCAGGCTCACAGGGCCTGTGTTCTAGGCTGCCTACCTCAGGGACCTGGAGGTCTAGGAAGGCCTCTGAAGATGGACCTGGCCCTGACAAAGGAAAAGGCAGCGGGAGCCTGGCTGCATGGGGGTGATGCTGCCGGACACAGGCTGATGTCCTGGGCCCCGGGGTGGGGAAGGGGGAGGGAGACAGGATGCCACGCCTGTCTCGCCACTAGCATCATCCATCCATTCTCCCAGCTGGGAGCCTCCTAGTACAGGCGCAAGTGATGTGGGATGGGAGAACTCTTGCCACCGCTGGGACCCTCTTAAACAGTGTTGAGTCTTTCCAAGGGCCTGAAGAATGTTCCAGAAGAGTGCCCTCTGAGTGACCCCACAGCCAGGATCCCAGCCACTACCTAGCAGGAAACTGGTTACAGTCCAGAACACCTGCCTCCCACAGGCCTAAAGCTATGCAGACAACCTGGGTGCCAAGTGTCTGGCCCTAAGGGTCCACTGAGGGTCCTGAGGGCCTCGAGAGCCTCTTAGGTGGCAGCTCCACCAACCTGTACAAATAAGCCACCACGTGGCAGAGGAATCACTGGGATGGTACTTTATTAGATCTTATATCAAAATCTGTATCTAGAAAACACACTACCATGTGGCCTGTCAGTGCCAGTCTGGTACAGAGACAAAACGATGACGGACGGGACCTATGCCGCACCAAGCACAGGTGGTCTCGAGGGAATACCGTCTCACAACCCTGCAGACACACCCTTCAAGGCAGGGGGCCTGGAATCCAAGGAAGGGGACGATCCTGGATCCTCTGAAACTGGCCTCACAGCATGGTGCCCCAACTAGGGGAGGTTACTGCTGCCCACACCACTGTCATGGAAGCAAACAGCCAGCTCTGATGGCTTCTATTATGACTCTTCATGTGTCAAATGGCTCCAAGAAATAACCTTTGAACTGCTGGGAGCCAGCCGGTGGTGTGGTAGTTAAGGTGTCTAGATCCCACATGGATGGCCAGGCAGTTTGAGACCCAGACTCGTGGCTTGATAGACATGCTGGGTGTTTGTGTGCCCACAATCCCAAGAGGAGGATGGATTGTGGCATCGTTATCCCCCTTGCGGGGAGGTGCCTTCTCACCCCCTCCCCATCTCCCTCTCTCTGGTGAGCACATGTGCCCTATAGCAAATTAGGGGAAAAACGAGCTGTTACAGGAACGTGAACTTGATGTTTTAATAACACTATTTCTACAAAATGTTTCACACAGTCTGAGAAGGGCTCTCCAGTGGAGCTGCCACTAGACACTGAAGGACCTGAAGGGAGTGAAAAGAGAGCACTCGCTTCTCCAGCACGTGGTGAGACGGTGCCACCCCGCCCGCCTGGAACCACGAGAACACTGCCAGGGGGTTGTCAGAAATTACATGATGCCTTTCATTCTCACAAAGTCTAGATTGTGATGATTCCACAACTACTCTGGAAGCCATGTGCCAGTTTCCTGAATTCCTATGTAAGTGGGGGTTTAGGTGGCGTGAAAGAGGAAATCTTGAATTCCCAGGTTGGGAGTTCCAATTCCATTTTCAACAGGTGCCCACGGACGCCAAGAACTCAGGCCCGGGGCAGTGGTAACATGGACAGTTGAAATGCAGCTGCCCTTCTGAAAACCTGATCACACAACGTCTATTTCTGGATCCACTATTTCTCATACTATACCTGGACTCTAGTTTCAGCAGCGATAAATAACATTCAGTGCAGAAGAAGCAAACACAAAATGATCAGAGGGAGAAAGCCTGTGCTAGACCAGGGCAAACGTTACTAAACCCCAAACAAGTTCCCACTAGCACTCCCCCCATGTGGGCTGCCATGCCCCACCAGCCTTCAGAGGAGCCAGCCAGCTTCCCGAAGGGAGAGGGCAGCAGAGCAGCCTGTGGGGACCAGCCTACGGCAGCCGCATGTTCTCCCGCAGTAGGCCATGGGGGG